ATATCAATTTGTATAATTATGGAAAAAATTATTTTTGCTATATAAATCTAGATATAAAAATAAATATCTATTTAAACCAGAATATAAATAGGAAGAACATAATTATTTAATTGAAAAACAATTGTTCAAATTTAAGTAAAATATTAAATAGCAAGTATACTATATCTGATTATGAAATTAAAAAAATACTCTATATGTGATATTATATGATGTACCAGCAATGAAAGGTGAAAGTAACTGGAAATAAAAAAATAAATAAATGAAGAATGAAAAAGAATATTAAAATGGCAAAGATAAGATTTTTTTATATAAATGTAATAATACAGTTATCAGATATATTATTGATATAATTTATTTTAAATAGAAGAAAGAAAGGAGGAAAAAAGTAACAGTATACCTATTAAAAGGAGGTGACGAAAAATTAAATATGTATCTTAAAAAAGAATTTTAAAAATATTAGATAATAGTGGTTATTACTCAGAGGAGTGAGAGATAACAGATAACAAATATAAATATGAAGATACTATATTTACTAATTATATTTATTATACTTTGTTTATAATTAAATTAATTTATCAAATTTATAAAACAAGATATCATAGATATTAATAATGACAATAATAATAATTACGGTAGTTATAATAATTGTAATAATAATTATAATAATAACAATTATAATAATAATTATGATGATAATAATGATGATGATAATAATCGTAATAATAATAATGAAGATGAGAATTATGATAATAATAATAATAATAATAATAATTATCATAATAACAATAATAATAATGATAATAATAATGATAGTAATAATAATGATTATAATAACAATAATAATAATGATGATAATGATAATAGTAGTAGTAATATTAGAAGTAGAAGTAGTACTACAGTAAGTAGAAATAATATCACAGCTGCTACTACAGTAAGTAGAAGCAGAAGTATTCGAACACTTACAATTTCTATTTATATTAAAGACAAATGATGGAGATTCAATTTGATAAGATCAATAATTATAATATATTTTTATACCTATTGGATATAATATTAATAGATGATATTAAATGATATTTTATAGTTAAAGAAGTTATTGCACAAAGGAATTGATCCAACGATTGATCTTTTGTATAAACTGTCAAAAAATTTCAAGCTTCGAATTAGATCTTCACAACATATACTGAATAAAAATAAAACAAAAGTTTCAAAAGGTGTACCTATTTGGATCCTAAATAAAGAAGCATTGAAAATAATAAAGTGGGATCAGAAGACCATCCTAATTTATGATCCCAATATTTCAGATCAAGATAATGATAACAATAATGATGATAATAATAATAACAATAATAATAACAATAATAATGATAATAATGAAGCAGGAAATAGTAGTAGAAAAAGAAAAGGAAAAGGAAAAAAAAAAAAGAAAAAGAAAGAAAAAAGAAAAAATCTAAAAAAAATAAAAAAAAATAATTAGATAGAATTAAATGTGAACATTAAAAATATTTTATATAGTATAAATAGTATAATTAACAATATAATATGTATAACATTTTTCATTTTATATTTTTTATTAATAAATAATATATTTTATTTATATTTTATAATAATAAGCAAAAATACAATTATCGGTAATAAGAAAAGTGAAAATATAAATAAAAGTTACTAATAGATATCTGATAGTAAGTAAAAAAGTACACTATATTGAGAAATATACAGTGGCCGATATATACCTGATATACTATACCGATATATAGAAAATATGTATTTAATAAAAAATAAATGAAATTGGATGTTCAATAAGTATATGATAGATTTGAAAAAAAATGTCAAAAAATCAGAGTCCAATATGTATCTAATATTTGCCAATATGTGTTCAATATGTGTCCAAACTTTGATACACTCACCCTACCTATTGGAAACTTGATATATTAAAATTTATTAAAAATCAGGTACTGTACCTATTGCATACTTATCAGGTACCCAATAAGTATACAATAGGTATTAATTTTCTACAATTTGACCAGTGTTATAAGAGAATATAAATTAGATTATCAATAGTTAATTAATTTTAAAATATCTGAATAAAATTCAGTTCTTTAAATATATTTTTAATTACAAAATAAACAAAATGAAATTAAAATATAATAGTATTCAACAATAACTGATGTCATTTAAAACATGTTTTACTGAAATTTCTTTAAGACAAATAAAGAAATATTTAATTAACAATAAATCTAAAACATGTTTTACTAGAAATTCTGCATTAAAATAAAAAGAATATTTAATTACAATGAAATTAAAAATTCAAAAGATATATAAAATTGACAATGACTAAATATCATAATGGCCACAATTTAATTATCAATGATTTCAATAGTCACAATGAAATTCTTTGTTAAAATATAAGAATGTTTAATTATAATGAAATCAAAAATTCAAAGAATACAATGAAATTAAAAATATAACAATAACTAAATGTTACATAAAATATAAAGAAATATCTGACAATAAATTAAAATATATATATTACCTTAATTTATAAAACAAGATCTACTGGTAAAAATGATTACCTTTAAAAAATTCTATAACAATTTGTCTATCAAAAAAAGTTATCAAAAATGTCAAAATTGATATATTAATTTGTATAAATTATTATAACTAATTGTAACAATTTTGATAAAAAATCAGTTTCACAAATAAAGTTTCTCTTATCAAGAGTTAACTGTATATGAACTAACCCATATTTAATAAGGAAATATATATTAGTTATAAGTGTAAATTTCCTTTTTAGATTTTATGTTTCAAAAATCCATAAATCAAAATCATGTTGATTAGTATAATAAATAATTTTTCAATATTAAATAAGGGATGAAATTCATTACTTAGATTCTTCCAGATTTTAACTTTATAATAAATTATAATATTACTATTTTTATGAATATTAACAAGTTATATTTAACAAACTAACCTGAAGTCTATAACTTTAAAATTAAATTACAAATTATTTTCTTTATTATTCAAAATAATAGTCATAGTATAATAGATTATTTTCAATTTACATTATAAAAATAATAAATAATCTATTAATGTTAAAAATCTGAAAATTAAATGTTACAATTGAATATTATTGATATTTATATCAAAAATAATAGAATGCTATTTTAAAATTAATAAATAAATATATTATCTGGGTATTCACTGAAATTTTAAGTATCACATTATATAAAAAAATTCAACCTGTGACAATATTGCTAATCCTAGTTATATTATTTTATTATTTTACTTATAATAGAAAAAATTGATACTTCAGTTAATTAAATGTTTCAAGTTGTTAATGAAAAACAAAGAAATAGATACAATACAAAAATGTGATCTATCTTCTCTGTAAATAAAGTTGTATGAATAATTATAGCACACCCTGGCCAGAAATATTCACTAAACTTGGATTTTTGAATTTTTGAATTTTCAGTAGTTGAAATAAAATATATATATAATTTACTAAAGAGATCATAGATGATCTTAATTTCTTTTTCATTGACAACAATATATATAACAATGGCTTGTTTTAAATATAAAAGTGAGTCATTAAATTTTGTTAAACGTGTTGAATTTAATTACTTTATAAAAAGGAATAATGAATTAAGTGTAAATATCAATATCATGTTCAATGAAAAGTAAGAAAGTGAATTTTTTACTATCTCATATATTTTGTTTGAAGTGTATACACTTCCTTACTATAATATTTATGTCTCAAAGTTAGAATAAGAATAAAAATTATTTTTCAAAATTCAACACCGGTTGAAGTATCGAGTTTTTTAAATTAAACAAAAAAAAAATATAAAAAAATGGTCATCTAATATTTCAAAAAAATATTACCATGCCATGAAGTGAAAAGAGATAAATATGATTCAGTTGATTGAATTTTTTTTTTTGAATCTGACATTTCTTTTATTGATAAATTCAATCCTTTTTTTAAAGAAATATTTGTAAATTGCTTTTAATAATTAGATGTAAAAAAAAAAAACCATCAATCAATTAATCAAAAAATTGTTATCACTTCAAAACTCTCTATTCAGTTATAGGAAAGATAGCAATAGCATCAGTAGAAAAATTGATGAAATTTAAATTGCATTTGTTATAAAAAATTTCAGAAATTTTATTGAATAAAAAATTTTTACGAAATATATTGCAATAATTTTTTTTTTTTTTAAAAAAAATATATATATTATATGTACAAAAATAGAGGAATTAACATTGAGGAAACGATGAAGTTTTTTAAGATAAAACGAAAATCAGGAGTATTTTCGTTATTTTGTTTTTTTTTAAAATGTTTAAAAGAAATGGTGAGGTTTTTTTGAATTATATTATATATATGAAAAGACATGCAGAGTGTTTTCGTGGATTATATTTACAAGTTGAAATGCATAAAATATTAATTAATAAGCTTGGAAAAAGTTGAAGTTCTTAATTAGGAAAGAAATCTTATAATAATTTTGAAGCATATATCACCCGGAATAACAAAAGAATGTTAAATGGAAGCTATAAGTAATAAAGTATTTAAAATGGTTGTTATTTTTAGGAGGATGTATGAAGGTAAAAGTTCGGGTGAATCTTATATAATTTTTTATGAAGTGAAAAAAGGGTACAAAAAAAAAATTAACGACAATTTTAAATTATTAGCGACAGTTTGCGGGCCCTTTGGAATGATATCAAATATCAATTCCGTTTTAATAATGATGGTTCGGATTAAAAGGATTTATATTTAATGAAAGTGGTATTTGTGGTATCAGTAAAAAGAGAGATAGGAAAAGAAGAGAGGAAAGGAGTGGAGAGGAGGGGTAAAGAGGGAGAGAGGGAGAGAGGGAGAGAGGGAGAGAGGGAGAGAGGGAGAGAGGGAGAGAGGGAGAGAGGGAGAGAGGGAGAGAGATAGTAGAGAAAATGGAAGAAACGCATGTAATTGGCCAGCATTTAATTTTCAGGGTTTGTCTCTAATTAAATCACAAGCGGTCTTCGGTAATTTGAAAATTCTTTTGACATGCAACTTTTGTAACTTCGCAGTTTTTGTCATATTTTTGCCATATTTTTGCCTCCGGCCCAGTGTTTGATAGTCGAATTGCCGTTATATGTTGAGTTGTATGCTCTAACATAATTGCCGTTAGAAAATATATAAGGTGTTGAAGAGACCAGCTAACTTAGCTCTTTGGCATCTAGAGATATATTCGTTACTGAAGAGACTAACTAACATAGCTCTTTGGCATTTTGAAGACTAACTAACATGGTTCCTTGGAATTTAGAAGATATATTAGGATTAGTAATGAATACTAACATAATTCCTTGGCATTTAGAAGATATGTAATGACATCTAACATAGGATTATACTTCGAATCATTATATGTGCGATTGTTTATTTTAGAAGCGACGTCAAAAGATTAAAGGTTAATGTTACGAGTGAATAAAGGAATGAAATTTAATGATTATTTTTCTCAAAGCAAAGAATTATTAAATAAATTTATAACAAGGCGTTTTTTTTTCTCAACTTGTATGGAATAAACACGTTTATTCCTGAAGAATCAAGACTACCTTCGACCAATAAAAATAATATTTGTATCGTCATTGACAAATGTATAACGGGAATGTTTCCAATTTTCGAACCAAAGGTCATTAAGGTCATTACAAATTTATTGTTAAACCATATTTCGATCAGTTAAATTATATCACTAAGCCTGTGGCTTTATATTACATTCCAAACTAAGCCAAAAATCTTTCGCATAAACTTGAATTCTAGTTAACTCGTTTCAAAATTTCGAAAAAAATTTTCGGAATAGATTATCTCCATTTCTTGGGTAAAGATTTGCGCATCTATATTCTTAAGTAATAATCTGGTATTTTAAGAATCTTGTGGGCTCATAATCCAAAACATGAAAAAAATGCATAAACATTTGATATTGCAGTAATTTCACAGCAAAAGGCTCAATTTACTCACGTGATTATAGATTTACGGTCAACTCTCGATATAAGAAATTTTACTTGTGAAACTGATTTTCTTGTAAAAACTACTACAATTAGATATATTGGTTTACACAAGCTAATGTATCAACTTTGATAGTTTTGATAACTTTTTTTGAATAACAATTTGTTACTATATTTGAAGTTTCTTATAGAGTTTTATTAATTAAATTTTTTTACTGGTAATTTCAAGTATTGTCCGGTGCAAAAATGTAGATACACCAATATGCTAATATACAAAATTTTTTTTAATAAAATTAATATATGCATTTGAAATTTTATTTTGCTTATTTATATTTTAAGATTTATTTTTATATTATTTTTATTAAGATTTTTTTTTTACAAAAAAAATTTTACTATATATCAATTTTTTCAATATCAGAATTTTCATTATCACTAATATCCAAAATTACATCATTACCTAAATCCCTATATTCTTCTGCCTTGCCAAGTGATTTTCTTCAAAATCCAACAATAGTTTTAGAAATAACCTTTTCATTAAATATATACAATAATTTGTCTCTAATAGAAAGAAGATTAGGATAAGGATCTGTCCTGACAACTTCTCCTTTTACAATTGCCCAAATTCCTTCAATGGGTTGAAGTTCACAGTGGTATAGAGGAGTATAGAATAAGTTATAATTATTTGATTATATGCGAAAGGTACATTTGATTTATTTGTTTATTAATTCATATAGTTTTACTTTACTGGAACCTTCTAGAATATTTATATTCTTTGACATTAACCATGAGATTAATATATCTTTTCTTGAGTTTGATGATAGCACTTATTCAACTCAACATTTGTGATACCAAACTCCATCCATGTAAATATCAGCTGATACATATCGTTCATAAACATTGGAACAAAGCTTGTTAAAAAGGTCTTCAAAAATCTCAACTGTAAAATTTCCATGGCAGTCATTATAATTGACTACAATATTAAAATTACAAATAATTTCAGGAATTTTTTTTCAAGTATCTGCATTTTTTTATTTTCTTCCTTTTGAAGAAGGTGGTTTAATTGATAAATCCTATAATAAGATAAAATTAGGTACAATTTCACCATAAATTTTATTAGTGTTACCATTTCATATTATAGCAATAGCTTCAAATATAATAATCAAAGGTCCATGTACTAGTGAAGAGACAATTCCATGATGTGGCATCCATATACGATTTGAAGTATAATGTAAGTGACAATATGATTTATTCAAAAAATTTTCAAGTCTGTTGGAAACATTATTTTATCTTGTAAATTTTCAAAACATTTTCTTAAATAATTGTTTCGAAAAGTTACATTTGCAAGAGATTTATATAAAATATTTTGATACTCATCACAACTATAAAAATAGCTCAGACTATGCAATATATGAAATAATTGCCATTTTGAAAAATGAAATCTTTTTCAGTAAGTTTTTGATATAATATAGGTGTTGAAAATAGGGAACCAGAAGTGTTTACTGATAAAACTAAGCTATGTATAATTTCTACAATATTAGAATCAAGTTTTTTTTTAGGTCGGCTAAGTTTTTTATATGTTAATAAATTCTCATCATTTTTTTATATTTAGCAACTACTCGTACAACTGTAGCCTCTCCAACACTAAGAAAATGGTCTGAATGTTTTCTAGTATTTAAAAAATATTGGTGAGTACTAAAAATCATCTGTCATTCTCTGCTAGTTAATGGATCTTTCTTTTAATTTGCATTGACCATAAGAAAAAAAAAATAACCAATTAAATATAAAAAATTAAAATTGAGAATCATACTTACCTTTTTTATAATTCAAAATTTTTGTATCATTTAATTTATAAGATTTTATAATTGATGAAATTTGTGTAATGATTTTTGTGTATTTATATTTTTGCACTGGACAATAGATCTTTGTTTTACAAATTAAATAATTATGAAAATGTAAAAAATTAAAATTGAGAATTATACTTATCTTTTTTATAATTCAAAATTTTTATATCATTTGATTTACAAGATTTTATAATTAATGAAATTTGTGTAATGATTTTCATGTATCCATATTTTTGTACCAGACAATAGATCTTTGTTTTACAAATTAAATAATTAAGAAACATGTTTTAGTTCATTGTTAAAATTTCTTAATATTTTTTAAATAACTTTAGTCTTTGTCATATTTTTAATTTCATTATGTTTATTGATAATTAGATATATCAGGAAATTTTTTCTAGTGAAAACTTTCGAAAGTTAACATTAACGTAAGTATTTCGCTATTTTTCGATATGTTATCCTTCGAAGGTCTTCGCTAACCTTCGAAGGTTATCGATTTT